ATTTTTAAACTACCATTTCTCTGTACATTTGATTCCAGGCTGCAGGCATTTCATTATAAATTTTTACATAGGGCAATTTACACAAATAACACTTTGTGCTTATGGAAATTAGTTGATAGTACATTGTGCACTTTTTGTAACGCTGATATTGAAACTCTTGAGCATCTTTTTATTACATGTACTATTACTAGAAGATTTTGGGGGAAATGTCAGCAACTCTGGAAGAAATGGACAAACGTTGATATTTTATTGTCTGACAGGGATATTTGTTTTGGAATACATGGCAGTTTTTATTGTCATCTTCTCAACCTTTTTATTTTAATCTGTAAACAGCACCTCTATTCTGAATCGAAAAGAGGTTCTGTCCCAAAGGTGGAAGTCGTGGAGAGTATAATGTTAAACACTCGCATTGTAGAGCGACAAATAGCTATCAATAATGGTTCAATGTCTAAATTTAATGAAAAATGGAATAATTTTAATTACGAGTAATTCACTTATTAGCAAGATTTGTCAGCTTATCAATAATGTTCCCCCACTTCCACTTCTTTTAAGCCATCCACTTTTCTTTTTTTTTGTATTTTTTTTTCTTTCTTTTTTTTGTAAATGTATTTATTTAAAGTAATAAAAAAACAGATAAAAAAAAAAAAATAATTTCTTAACAGCATAATTTTCAACGACATATAGAAACATCACATTATACAGGGTATATTGCAAAACAATTAAAAAAACAGTTTGACATAAAATTTTGAAATAACATTTTCAAAACAAACAATCAAGATACATCCGGGCATTGTGTTTATCATTTCCATTTCGATATTTTCTTATTTCTACGGGTACATAAAATAATACAGGGAATATTCAGCGTCAGAATATTCACAAACCACTCTCCAAATCGCATCCTACCAGACCATTGAAGGAAGACTGCTCTAGAACAATATTCGCCTATGTTAGGTATGTTATACATTCTCAGTTATTTCGATTAATATTATGGAAAATGGTCTAAAATTGGCCAGTCTGTTGCATCCCTGTTGTGTTTTAAATAAGCTTTGCTGAATTATTTCTGTACACGTAAATCTCATTGTTTTGACATGAAAAATACATATTGGTTGATGTATTTAATGAATGTAGAATTCTTTATGAATACCAGTGCATGCATGTAAAACAATATGTATTCAAAAAAAGTACTATTTACAATGCTCAGTTACTGTAGTTTTCCACTGCGATTTGGCAAAAGAAAGGATTAAACTGTACCTTGGATATATTGTACTGTTAGTAAGCAGTATGAGAATGTGGCCATATATAGGTTTTATAACACGTCTCATATTAGCTCCGTTATTAATTTTGTATTTACGTCCTACATAGCTCAGGTATGTGCTCTTTCGAAGTCTAATTAGCCATTTATACACGTTGATGCCATTTATACGCGTTGATGGTTATTTGTGCTACCACTTTGTAAATACAATACTAATTTCTGTAAACGCAGACAGTGCAAGTGGTTAACAGCAACTCAAACCATAACGCTCCGTCCTCATGTCTGTCATTAGCAATTCACACCTCGAATACACATTTGCCCGAGCAAATAAATTAGGCCTTTAATGAAACCTCACTTTCCACATGACAACAAAATTCGGTTCTAAACAGCATGTATGTAATACAAAACTCATAGAACACTTTGTAAATTTTATATGCAATCATGACCATAATTAAATGTGTTTCACATGTTACACAAACGTACGATGCTTACAGCTGAAAAATAAACTATTGCATATAATTTATAACATAAATGTGATGATTGCAGATTAAAATGCTGAGGTTCGGCTTAAAATGAAGAGACTAAATAACTAGAAAATGTAAAAATAGACATATGTTTATGCCGCTCTGGATAATATACTAATCCATATACATCTCCTAATTTACAGTAAAACAGTTTCGTTTGTAATGTTTTCTTAATTTAGTATGGCTTCTAGTGTTTTTATCTATATGTATATAATTTATAACCTAAATGTGATTATTACAGACAGAAAAACGCATCCTTAAAACATTGACCTTTGGCCTATAATGAATAGATTAAATAGGTTTATGCCAGTCAGGATTGTATACTAATCCATTGAAACATACACTGGTAGATATCACTACTGCTTTCAACAATATACAGTAAAACAGTTTCGTTTGTAATGTTTTCTTAATTTAGTATGGCTTCTAGTGTTTTTATCTATATGTTGTTTTATTATGTGCTGTAACTGATCAGTGGAATTAGCCAGTCTTAAAAGCCGTTGTAAGTTTAACAAAAGCCATAATATAGTAAACGTACATCAACTCTAATCGTGTGTTAGTTCAGCAGAACTGTGTATATTATATGTGCGTAGTAACATAATTGCAATAATTGCACCATACCTACCCCTTTAACACCCCTTAGCGTCGCAAACATTTCTATGTTAATGGATATTCAACTATTATTTAATTAAACTTAATAAAAACGCAATTCTACATTGAATTGTATTGTAATTGAGTTTAATTAAACTCAAATGAAACGCAACCCTATATAGGAACGCGTTTTATTCGAGTTTATATCGCAATTATATTAATAGTTAATTCAACTTTATTAAACGAAATTCCAATGCAGTCCACTTTTGAGGAATAATATGCAACTTTATAATATGAACATATTTAAATTAATAAATGAATTAACATGTGCTAAAACCTCCTTACAAAATGTTGTTGTTGTTTGACGGTGTTGTAAGTAAGGATTAATAAAGTCGAATTTTATTTATCTCTCGACATGGCAACGTGTTCTTTCTATACGATGTTATACTATAAAGTAGGGTGAAGAACTGTTGTATAATTGGCAACAAAACATTTTTCGTCAATGTCATTGTAGATCATTTAATAATAAAGACCTATACGGTCGAAACATTGTACTAATACACATTCAATGTACACATACCTCTTAAAAAGGGATTTATTTAGCACCCCTCCCTAACGTGAACTCTAACCATAACGCCCATTCCTTATGTCTGTCTCTCCAGATAATAATCTGTTAGATAGCAGTGTGAGAATATGAATTATGGGTTAGGAAAACTTAATGAACACTTTCCTCTATTGAATCGGTGGGCAATTGTATGAAAGGGCTAAGAATGAAATAAAGTTTTAAAACACTTTTTTTTACAGATCCTTTATATCTGAATTATGGCGTTAGTCGTCGGTATGAACAAATTACCTATTCTGATAGAGTCATTGCACAAGTGGAGGCCATATTGTAATCCTGTGTTCTGGATGATTAAAAACAGCATATTAACCAAAAACGTATGGCCTTGTATGGATATCTACACAGATGATATTTGTAACCCAACAACTGTAGTCGGAGCAGCAAACAACTATCACGAGGCACCGTTTGATAGATCCTATTTCATGTTCTCCACCAATAACAACAAACTAGAAGCAGTTTTGAATGCAGCTGGAGTGATTGACTGGGACAAAGAACAGATTCCGTTTGACTCGATACCAATGTCTAATTTCCAAATGATTCAGGATGCTGCCACTGCAAATGGATTTCAACTGATTTACCACCAAGCTTGGCAATTTTATCTTTTGGAAAAGAATGAACTGTGTGCAAACATCGCGGATAAACCACTTCCAGATGGATTCCAATTTGGATGTCTTAGAAATGAACACATCCCCCTGATAGAAGAACGATGGTGGCGCAACAATGATGTACCTCCAACAATTCTTTCAGAGACTTTAAAGTATCATAAATTCCATGCTGTATTTGAATCAAATGGGTCACCCATTGCATGGGGAATATTTAAAGAATGTGGTGACTTGGGATATGTATTCTGTGAGCGTAGATACCGAGGGTCCGGTGTACCTGAAAAAATGTTTGCTAGTATGTGCATGATGTCATTGAATGAAGGTATTATACCATACACCGTACTAGATACTCGTAATATACATTTGGTGAAACACCTCAGAAATTTGGGATTTCGAGAAGTAAAAAACTTTGATGTCGCAGGTTTGGTTTTCAAAAAAATAAATCGTATATAAAATGTATATAAAATGTAGACTACTAGCACATCTACTACACTTGTTGTACTCCTTGTCTAATCATAAAATAGAGCCTTTGAGCATTGTTTGATTTTTTCGAATTCGGTAATCAAATTTATATAATACAGAGTTGATATCGACTGATCGTGCGTAGAATGCGTAGACTACATAAATTACACTTCGATAGTGACATGTTAACAACCATGAAAGGTGGTAAATACATTTCAATAATAATTTTACGTTATGTTTTGTCAGAAAATTAAGCGAATGTGAATAAATGTATTGGACATCAGAAAACATGCTAATGTGAAAACAGATGACTGATACATTTTGTCTTAATTAATTGTATTTTCCATACTTTCCATACGACCGTCGCACCGCGCATGTGCGACATTTTGATAATAAACGTCGATTCCTCCCACAATCCAATTTGCTCTTCTACGATTCGGCAGAGTACGATCGCCATGATATCACAATGCATGATTAATTTTATCCATTTGTAAGGTTAATACACATTGATTCCTCCCACAATTCAATTTGCTCTTCTAATGTAAATTATGAGTACGAGTTTTGACCTGGGCGCAACGTGCACTAAGTGCTTACGATACATTCCAATCATTAAAGAAATACCTAGTTAAAGCTTGTAACGTCTCAGTTTTTACTCGTTGGTCTGAGCAACAGTCAATTTTATTTTGTTTGTATGCGACCCACACATGTATAAGACGTATGCGTAGCGTGACTACCACCGCCCTTTAAAATGTGAAAAAAAAATCCAATGGTAAATTAAAAATACATTTTTACCGATTGCCAACTTTCTTTCATCCATTCAAAATCATAAACTCTTATTTCCCGAAAAGCGAGAAGAGCCAT